CAGGTCTGCCCTGCCCGGGAGAGCCAAATGTGCGCGGATGGCCCACACCTGCATGTCAGCGAATTATTTAATTCACAAAGATGTGTGAGAAAATATTCGCAATCTTGCAAGTAAGCGAACGGCCATTCACTCACTTCCTGGGTCATTCCCTGCTAATAGAGCGAGGTGAAAAACGGCGAACAGAACTGGACCACCGTGAAACCACGAACGTGTTCAGCCTTAGCTGGGGCGCAGAGGATGGCTCGCTCGCGAACTGACATGTCACAGGTTATTTACCATGTGAAATGACGTCGTTTAAAACCCTCATTGAAGTTGGAGCAAAAAATATTTCATTCCCCTAGCGTGAGAATTCTGTGAATTTAATGACTGAAAAGGTGTGAAAACGTCCTCGCCTTGATTATATGAGGAAGAGTTGCCTCATTCGCTTTTTTGAGCATGGACCCTCACTCAAGGGTTTGTAGTGATGTGCTCCCTTCGTTATCTATCCTGCTCGATCTTAAGTTTTAAGGACAATATGTCTCTGTCTCCACTTTAATACGCCCTGCCCTGGCTGGTCCAGAAAGAGTCCCAAAACAGGCCCAAAATTGTCGTCTCCAAAAGAATGCCAATATTTTCAGTCTCCAAAAGAATGACAAAATTGTCAGTCTCCAATATATGACCAATATATACCAAAATATGACTATTAATCAAACGGGAGGCCAACGTTTTGGCAAGCAAAGTATGGTTACGGCGTTTATAGAGTAGTCACCACACTGGAAAGACAAAGGTCGGACTTAGTGCCTTTAAGGTGCTAAATATTTGTCTGCCTATAGAAAGGCACGAAAGTGTCTCAAATTTAGCACAGTTATCGGTCATTTGATTCTTTCCAGAGCTGATAATTTGTTAGGGCACGAAAGTCGAAAGCACCCCAAAAAGGGTGTTAAGTCCTACCTTAATTTTCCACTTATGTTTACAGCTTTATTGTTTATTACATCGTTTGTAGCGCCGTCCCTTCTCCGCGCCATCTTTTTTCCTATGCGACCCACCCTTCCTTCAGTGTACCCGTCCACTCTCACCCCTCAGTTGCTAAAAGGGAGGTCCTTTCGGACCGAAAGTGGAATGGCTCCGAGGAGAAAAGTACTTCTTTAATCCGGCAGGCCCCACCGCACGGCCCCGCTGGCTCCTCTCGCCGACGCACCGCCAGTTTCTTGTTTTTCCCCGGCCATGCCGTGCGGAGGGTAGGCGTCGAGGAGGGAGGAGGGGGTGAGGCGATGAGGCTCCACCCGGCGCCTCTAGAGGCGCCACCACCCCCCGGCAGCGCGGCCCGCCTCCCCAGCCTCGCGCCGCCTCGCTCCTTGCCACGCCCCGCGCACATCCTGCACTGTGAAAAACCCAACTCGAGCAAGCAAAAGACCTGCAACTGGTCTCGGAACTGGTACTGAAATATGTGCGGAACCAATTTTGATGTGAGACCTAGGCCTCTCTGTTACACATTCTTACTCTCGGTTGTCTTTGCAGTCGATTTAAAAAACGGAACTTTTAATTACTCTTTCTTTTTATTATTGAGAAATCATTTGACGTCTGCCTCCACTGAAAATCGATTAAGTTAACACATTGAGGTGTGCTTGAGCTACTCATAAGTACTTCTCTTCCAGACTAAGACTTTCCCAGAGCGCTTCTCTTCGAAGTTAAGTTCCTCCAGCTGCCTTGACTTAGGGTTGTCTCTCAAACTTGTCTCTATGTACTCCTGCTAGTGGCGGCAGCTAGTGGGTCTGAAGTAGGAGGCACGCCGGGGTGGGGCGGGCGGGGCGGGGCCCAAGATGACTCCACCAGACTCCATCAGAGATGGGAAAGCAATCTAAACTTGGTGCGTCGTGATGACTTTTGTAAACTGGGATGATGTCGGACAGACGTCTCTCTGCCGCCTCTCGATTAGAAGAGAGGGGGGGAGGCGGTGAGGGTGGTGTGGTCGCACCCCGAGTGGGGCTCAAGGAGGTACTGTGCCACCGCACAGGCCTGGCCGCGGCCCGCAATCGGGTCCGGGCCCAGCAGAGATTCTCCACCGCAGCCATAGGCCAAGAGGTCGGCAGTCGAAGATTGTGCTTTGGACAACTATTCTCCAATCCTTAACTTCGCTTTTCAGCCCGTCTGGCTGCTTTGAATAAAGAAGCCATCGAGCAAGGCTCGAATACGACATTTCCCGGTTACATCTCAGAAGGCTCCCGTAGAGAACAAAACGCGACAAAACGCTTTCGGCAAAATCATGGAAATATCATATTACGATTACGGGTGTGAAATGAGATCAAATTCTAATGAATAGTAGTTGGGTCGGAAAAATATTACAACGTTTCAAAATATTTGTTTAAGGAAAATGCAGGAGGAGAGAAAACCGATAGACTCCAAAAAGACATCAGAAAACGTAGAAAAATTGAATAGACCGGAAAACCCAAAAAATTTTGGAAGAATTATTAATAGCCCCTAGAAAACTTCGGAAAACTTGGAATCCCGAACCATACCACATCGAGTATAACTGCAGCAGACCATCTGCATCCGGACGCAGCCGATACACTCGGACTCGGGTACACTGGTAAAACAAGTGTGCAAAATTTGCACACCAACGTGTGCAAATTGTGATTTTGCACAATACCGGGTGATTCAGAGAAGATGCAGGTGCAGGCGGGTTTGCCTACCCGCTCTGCCCGTAAGGCGCCATAGCCCCTTGAATAGGCAAACCCGCTCGCACCTGCATCTTCTGTGTATCACCCGGTACACGGTATTTAACTCAAGTTGCACACTTATGTAATTGCAAATTTTTGACGTTTTGTAAACGTTTAAATTCTGAACACTTGGACACACACAGTTCTATGCTATCCATAGGAACCATATGGTGTGCACTCCGGTGTGCAACTTCTTTGCTTTTCGGAAGTTTCGAAAGTTTAAACACCAATTGACGAAAAACTAGTTAGACACCACAATGTGTCTAGAAAATGCACACTTGAACTTAAACACGAATTGTCTTGCAGTATTAAACACTTGTTTTACCAGTGTTGGGCAAGCAGCGAGATGGGTCCGGAGCCGGCAAGTCCGTTTGGTGGGAGGGCGCGCCTTCTTTATTTTAATGACTTTTTACTTCGGCATCTGAGATGAGCGAGCGCGACGTTGTGTTGACCCCTCTTCTTCCCCGGCCGAGCTCCTCCCTCTCTACCCTGGGTGCGGTGCGGTGTGGGGCTGTGCGCGGGCCTGTTAGAGCCCAGCAGCCAATAATAATAGACATGGCAGCATGGCGCCCGTGGCGCGGCGGGCGGGGTGGGGTGCGGCGGGCCGGGCCGGGCCCACGGCGCCATGCGTGGGCGGGCGCCCTCCCCGCCCTGCTCCCCGACGCACGCTCCCGGGCTTGTTGTTGTTGTGCTGCTGCTGCCCGTGCTGCTGCTCCTGCTGCTGTTCCTGCTGCCTGCTGCTGCTCCGCGCTCCGCGCGCTTTGAATCTTGAAAAATCTTGAATCTGCTGCTGCTGCTTCTGCTGCTGCTGCTGCTGCTGCTCCTGCTGTTCCTGCTGCTGCTGCTGCTGCTGCTTCTGCTGCTGCTGCTGCTTCTGCTGCTGCTGCTGCTGCTGCTCCTGCTGTTCCTGCTGCTGCTGCTGCTGCTCCTACTGCTGCTCCTGCTGCTGGCTACAGCCGAGGCATGCTCGATTCCCATTCAAAGTTTTCCTGTGCAACTATGGAAGGAAAGATTTATTTGTTGTAACACAGCCTTCGTTGTTTCAATGATACAATTCTCTGAGTAGTTTACAACTGCGAGCGGTATGAGTGTGAACTTTAGTTTACTTTTATGACTTTGCGGACTAGAAACCATAGAAGGATTCTTCTCTAAAAACACCCAAAAAGATTGATGCTGTAAATTTGCTTTTCTTTCCGGAGATCTACGTTTTATATCCTCACTCGATAAGAGCAATAATAGATTTCGAAATCTGCTCACTCTATTTGAGTGATGATTAGACCAATGCAGCAAGGAGAAAAATCTCGCTCTTTTTAGGTGAGACATATGACTCCAGGATTTGTAGTGCGTATCTGGATCAACCATACCATGGCTGCTACAGCTTTTTTTTCTTCGTTTGGGAAATGCAGAGAGAATTTTGCATCGCCAGACGTCCTACTGCCAATGGCATTATTCTGTGTCTCTCGCCCTCTCCTTGCCTCGGTGGCGACGACTGTTAAAAGGGAATGCCAGGCGGGCGAGAGGAAGGCGCGGCACCCCGACCAGGCTAGATCCGGTCCCGACCGATGGCTGCCGGCGGGAACTGGAGCGCGGATAAATTCGAAAACTTTGCGGCGTCAAGGACCAGAGGCGCCAGCGAGCGCCAGCGGGTGGGGCCCAACCCCCGCGGCCCGGCCCCGGGAGGGAGCGGGAGGCGAGGGCGGACTACATCTGCTAGCTCGTCCTTCACTGCCAGTATGAATAATGCAAAAGTTTTAAAAGGGCTGGCTGGCTGTGTCAGGCTGTGTCTCTCTCTCTCTCTCTCTCTCTCTCTCTCTCTCTCTCCCTCTCTCTCTCTCTCTTCATCCCTTTCGCTCTTGCTCTCTGTCTATTTGTGTCTCTTTTTCTCCATTTCCCCGCCATTCCCCTCCACCGAGTTTCTCTCTGCCGCCTTTGCTTCCCTCATCATACCGCTCCTGTTCTGCGTTTTACTTCAAATGAAAAATGCAGTACACCGGATGCGCTCTTGCTATGCCTTGGACCAGTATACGGTCGGGGTATTTAAATTAATATTATTATATTATTATTATCATCATTATTGTTGTTGTTGTTGTTTTACGGGATACTACTTATATTCTATAATATCTGGCGACCCGAATTTTTTTTCTGCTTATACTGTACCGCATGCCAGCGTGTGAGCGCGTTACCTACTCGCTAGGAGCCATAAGGCACCGAGGTGAGGAACAGTAGGCAATCCCACCCGCACCGGCTGCATGCGGTCTACAGTATAACTACGAAATTCTCTGGGGTCTATGTGTGATTGATTCGAATAAATTGAGTCACTTCTAATCTTAAAATTTCGCGATTAAAAGGCCGTAATCAGTCTTTTCTTTGCCCGTGTTGCAGGTGTGGTTCCAGAACAGGCGTGCCAAGTACCGGAAGCAGGAGAAGCAGCTGCAGAAGGCGCTGGCGCCCTCCGTGCTGCCGGCGTGCAATGGCATGATGAGGAACCTGTACCAGCCGGCGGGCCGCTCCTACCAGCCCTACCCGCACCACAACTCCATCGCCTCCATGAACTCCATGAACCGGTATCCTCAGGTAAACCCTCGCAGATGCTCGCCCCCCCCCCCCTTCTCTCTCTATCAATGAAATCTATGAATGTAAACAATTTACTCGTAAAAATATACTTGCCTAGGCATTGGAGCACCATAAAATATGGTTCAACGTTATCGTATTAGTGAGAACGAAAAATATGGTTTCCATCACCTTGTCCGTTGTTGTCTCAACCATAAGATGGTTGCCTTTCCGGTGTGATGACGTGAAGATGGATTTTTTTTATTATTATTTTTTATTTATTTTTTGCCCTAATCGCCCAATCGTATGTTTTTATCGCTGTATGACCATCTCCGGCCATGTCGACATATAAAATTTGCAAACTCAATTAAAGTATCCCACTCTCACGTTTCTTTTGTTCGACTACAGATGGGTGCCAGTTCATACCCCAGCATGGCGCAGCCGTTCAGTATGAGTCACGGTGGCAGCAACATGGGCGGCATGCGGCAAGACTCCATGGGCAGCTTCAACAGCTTCTCCAAGGCGTCAGGTGGGTACATGGCAGAAGCAGTGAATATTTTTGTTTCTTGGTGACTTGAACGCGAGGGAGAAAAAAAGGCTGGAAAAAGTGCCACGTCTTTCCCACAAATATGATGGAAAGGGCAACTTCATCGGGGCCTCTCGAGGGGTTGTCAACTCTTATATTAGCGATAATTCTGCAATATTACAGTTATATCACGTCGATATTGCTTATATTACCAGTAATGTAAATTCCTTCACAAACGGCTAATGGGGGGAGAAAACGACATACACTGTAAGAAAAACCTACAGTTACTGCTGTACAATTCACCCCACAATATACAATGAAAATTTCACCATCCTCTACTATGGTTAATAATTGAGAGCACCAGACTATATTGTAGGGTTTTCTTACAGTGCATGTAAGCAGGCGTAACTAAAGAGGAGGAAGAGGAAGGGGGTCGAAGGAGAATAAGCTGGCCCTTCCGTTTATTTAATTTATGTAGGGTGGTCCATAGACCCCTCCCTTTACTTTGCTTATACTTCACCGCATGCATGCGGGCGGGCGGGTTGCATACTCGCACGGAGCTATAAGGCGCCATGGTGAGTAACGGTAGGCATGCACGCACGCCTGCATGCGTTACAGTATAAGCAAAATAAAGAAAGGGAAGGGGTCTATGGACCACCCTGTAAAAAACTTTGTTAAAATAAACTTTGGCTGTAACATCTCGTAGATTTCGATGAGAGAGTTCACGTGATAAAATTGTAACCGCAGTTCACGAACGTTGACCCTCCTCAGATCATATGTTTTTTACGAGCTGTTTCGAAGCAGCAACTACACACTGGAAACGCAACACTATAGTGTCCAACTTGAGCGTTGAGCTATAGTGCTCGACGGTCAGGTTCAACATTTAAAAGTCTGAAACACACCTATTGAACACTTCCAACTATTCAAAACTCGTGTTGCACACATAGAAGTATGCCACACGGTGTTTAACACTTAAAAGTGTGTGTCAGTTGCACACTTTATACATCAGTGAAGTGTGTGAATGTCGCTCACTTGCAGGTGTGTGAATACCCATTCGTACATTACGGGTAGTAAACGGTAGGAAGAATTCACACGTTTACCCCCCCTAATTGTACGAATGGATATTCTCACACCTACAACACTGGAAAAACTAACGTTACCGAGGTAACGTTTCTTGACGCGACCACGCCAGGTAACGTTTGGTGATGCAACCAGTTTGTGATGGCCCTATCCTTTTGCATGGGGTAGGTCGCATCAGGAAACGTTACCGGTCTTGGTCACATGATGAAACGTTACCATGGTAACATTAGTTTTTCCAGTGAAGTGAGCAACATTCACACACTTCCGTTTCCAGTGCAGTATTGCAGGCTTTGCATACTCTCTTGGGCCGCACGGACCCGGATCCTGTCGCCTTACGGGCGCGGAGGGAGTAGACAAACCCGCGACACTCTAGTGGGTGCCCAGAAACACCCGGGTACTCGGGTACCATATAACTGTGAAAGAATGACAGAGAGATTCTTTGTTTTTCCTTTCCGCGCGTGTGTTTTTGTAAGTCCGACCCCTAACACGTCCACCACAGGTACGCCCTGGAGGGATGTCGCTCCGGCGCTCCCTCGCTCGCGCCCGGCGCCCCCCGCGGTCCTCGTTACGGGAGCAGCGCCAGGCGCCCCCCGAGCCGGGCCGAGCCGAGCGGAATATTGTGGCGCACATTCATTTCATTCCGCGGAACGAAGCGTTTTGTTTTCCCGGGGCGGGCGCATCAACAGAGCAACACTATGGCGAGAGCACGTTGTGGCGGGGCGGGCCGGGGCGTGGGCGGGCCGGGCGGGCGCGATGCCATCCACGGCTGTGGCTGTGCTGGGAAAGTATCGAGCGCGCACCGAGTTAGGGCGGGATGGGGGTGGAGCCCATCCCCATCGCCCACCCCGCTCCCCTACGCCGCCCGTCTGTTCCCCACCTCGTCCTCTTCCTTCTCCTCGCTCCCTCCTCGCTCTTTCTCTCCCTCCCTCTCTCCCTCCCTCCCCCCTCCCTTTCTCTCGCAGCTTCGCTCAACTCCGCTTTGATGGAAAAGCCCGACCCAACCCACAGCGTTTCTGGATCCTCCCCTTTATATATCCTG